CCCCCCACCCCCCAGCTCTCCCCCTCTTCCCCTGCTCACTTGACTTCTCATCTCAGTACAGAGCTCACCTCTCCCCTCCCTCAGGGATCCTCCCATCACTGTTAGTCTTCGGTTTACACAAATAAGCGTGTGTGTGTTTTTTCCAATTCTCCCTCCCACGCTGACTGCCTTTTGGTCCCAAGCTGCAGGTATTGGTGCAGTGTGTCCAGTGTTGGATCTGGCAGGGGGGGACGACAGAGCAAGAAAACTGACGCTTCCTCTGCCATTCTACCAATCCGGCGGGACGGGCAATGCAGGCAAGCAAATTAGGCAGCCTCCTCAGCACACGATGGACCCCCGCGGCTGCCTAATTTTCTTGCCTGCATTGATGCTTCTGGTTTTGTGCCCTAATTGTTCCGTGCGACCGCATTGGTAGAATGGCAGAGGAAGTGTCAATTTTCTTGGGGAGGGGGGGATTGCTCTGTCCCCCCCCCGGATCCAACACTGGACACACTACACCAATACCTGCAGTGTGGCGGGGGGAGCGAGAGTTAGAAAAAAAACACACACATACATTGCAGCTTGGGACCAGGAGGAGGCCGAGTGGGAAGTTCAAACTCACCTATACAGTCCACAGATGAGAGGCACTCCACACATTTCATGGCTGCCAGATGGTGAATGAGTGGTTCAGGCGTTTAACAGAACGAGAGTTGTGTCAGGTAGGTACAGCCACACTGGCTCCAAAGTCACACGCACGCAGCGTGCACCGGCACAGCAGAGAGAACCTAGGGGTGGGGTTGATCTTACAGCAGCCCGAGCCCCGTCCATACCACGGCCACTCACTGCAACGATTCCGTCCTTACCCCTCGGCACCCTCAGGCGCCCGCTTGAGCTGCCTTACAATGGCGCCGGGCCTGAGTCTAATATCCCATGACAGTATGAACATATCCCAAACATCTTCAAAGAAATATCTACATATGTAACTGTCTGTCTTAAAAATAGCAGTAGCTGCATTTATTCTTCTTTAGGGTAGCCTAGCCGGTCAAAGCATGATAACTACAAATTGTGTTATTTCACAATGATGAACTTTATATTGTAGAATTTTATATTGCAGAGGTATAAACATCTTATTTATATACAAAGAAGTTAACTAAATGTGCTAAAGTATTTTACATTTTTCATAACTAACATTACCCACGACATGCTTTATGATGGAACTCTCAACCTTGTTCTACAACAGGAAATCAGTCTTCTCTGTGAATGAAGCTGGACAAATGAATGGGTCAGCAGGAGGAGTTGGTGGTGGCAGTGGAGGAGGACCAAGTGAAGATGATGAGATGCCAAGTGCCCATGAGATTGGAGAAGAGCTTTCATGGACAGGCAGGTGAGTAATCCATCTGTTGTTTAGTTAACTGTCAATCAGTTGTTTCTTTTTAAAGCAGAAGTACAACTTCCCTTCCCTTGCAACCAAGGATGGTGCCATCCTGGCCTCTATTTAGATTGCAGTTGCCAATGTGCTGCACATGTGATCAGCTGTGACACCAGCCATTTGAGGGCTTTAAAATTTGGTTGTGAGCTAAAATAAGCACACTGGCAACCTTGACAGTTGGCATGCCTTTACTGAGTAACTGTTTTGGAAGACATGAAATTGGTGCTGAAAGTTCCTCTTTAAGAGGTCAAGAATCACAATTGTCAATTGGCGTGGCACATACCGGCGTTCTCTCACCTCTCGATCCTGTCACAGCTCTATGCCGTGACAGGGGAGGGGCTGGATTCCCCCCTCCGATCCGCCAGCGCTGACTGGCGGAGTGGACGAGGGAGGGGGTGGGTACAGCTGGCTCTGCCTCTAGATAGGCAGAGCCAGCTGTCAGTCACGCAGCTGGGGGGATCCCAGCACAATTGTCGGGATCCGCTTCAGCTGCGGCGTCTCAGTATACCGCGAGCTACAGCTCGAGGTATACTGAGCCTAGGGTGACGGGAGGACGCTAGTTTGTGTCCTCCCGTTACCCTAAGGAGAACTATGGGGAAAAAGCCTTAACCCCATAGTTCTCCTTTAATATACCACGGTTTTTAATTCATACATGGGTGTACAAGACAAGGCTTTTTTTTACATTTGGATCTCTTTTCAACTGTGACCTGCATATGGGACAGATAGGAGACAGTCCTACAAAATTAAACAGGAGTTCCCTTGTGCCTGACAGCTGGGCTAAAGGGATATGAAGCCCTCTTTGTCCAGGCAAAGTATTGGGTCTGGTCTAGCCTTTTTTCCATAGCTTTGGTGTCATCCCCATGCTTCTTTATGATATATAGTTATATGTTACAAGTGTTTATTTATTGAGCGCTGAATGATGCTCATCTCAGTGTTCTGCAGTTCCCCTGGTTACAGATTGGAGAATTACAAGACTATTGGCAGGCAAAATAGCTCCCAAATGTGGATTTCAACTGTTTGATGGGATTTTAATCCTAAAGTAACCCTTCCATGGCAAATTAAGGTCCACCTTTAGGCCAGGCCCGTACAACTCCCAGTCCCAATGCAAATAACTTTAAAAATAATGTTTACCCCCCCTCCCCCCCCCCTTCCCTCAGCTGGGCCTCTGATGTAGTAAGGAAGTGTGACATCTCTATGCTTATGAGATTGAAATACATTTATGTTACCATGTCTAAACTCGAACACTTAAACCTAATACGTTGTTGCAGATGCTTCTATAATGTAAAAACTTAATCCCTTTATTCAGCATTTAGTTAAATCATACATATAAGGTTTATCCACAGGAACTTCCTATCCTAGGGTGACAATGCTTTCTCGGTTCAACTACAGCGTTGCCACCCTTGGAGAAGGGAGGAGGATGGAGTGGGGAGCAGGGGCAGGGGAGTAGCTTGATTTGCTGTGTCTGTGTATTTGTGGAGACACACACAGCTAACAGTGTGACTACATAGGACCCTGCAAGGGAAAGGAGTCACTCTAAGGCCCCATTCACACCAGGGCGGATGCGTTTCAGCGTGGTTTCCACGCAAATTTTAAAGCGGCGGTTTCGGGTGTTTTTAAGCGTGTTTCAGTGCTGAAACGCAATTAAAAACGCCCAAAAACGTGCTGATCAGCGCGTTTCCATTCAAATCTATATGGAATGCGCGTTGATCAATGCAGAAAAAAAGGCTCAGGGAGCATTTCGGAGTCGCACGATCACATGTAAGGTGCCCATAGGAATGTATAGGGTCGTTCATGACGGTGGTTCAGCATTAGACAAATCCACGCGACCGAACCGGCCTGGTGTGAACAGGGCCTAATACAGGATATCTGGAGCAGTGCTCAGGGGACCAGCTGATTCTACAGGAAGCTAAAACTTTTAAACATCAAGAAGCAGAACCTACTGTAATGATTTCATCAGCATTTGAAATAGCTTAAAAATCCTTTGACATTAATATCACTTTAGATAAATATATATACATATATATTGTACGTCGTTTTCACACACATTCATGCACGCTGCGTTGCTAAAAAGGGCTGCCTACTCTTCTTTTTTCAACCACGAACTGATGCAGTGTAATGCCGTGAACTACACTCATTGCACATTATTCATTTTTTTTGCCTATGCATTTGGGATGTGCTTATGAACACATCCAAACACATCACCCTGAGAGCTTTGTTTTACTTTAATCCAGTCAGCGTATTAATGGCGTAACAGATACATACAACTTGTATTCCATTTTGTTTTGGTCCTTTTGTCCCTGTTTGTATTTCCTTATCCAGGTTCTGTGGAGGTCTTTATCTGGACATTAAGAGGAAGCTGCCGTGGTTCCTCAGTGACTTCTACGATGGCTTTCACATCCAATCAATTTCCACCATTCTTTTCATCTACCTCGGCTGCATAACCAACGCCATAACATTTGGAGGGCTGTTAGGGGATGCCACAGACAACTATCAGGTACGGGAATCATTATCTGGAGATGATAGAGGTCCTCATGGTTGAGGTGGACTGACAGCCATGGTGCTCAATGTAGATAATAGACGTGATTGAGGATAGGACATCAATAGGACCAGATGCCCCCTCAGTGCACAGTCCCTTTCCTTACCTTATTGCAAAGTCAGATTCTACTTTTTGGAGAAGGGGACAGGAGGAGTGAGAGCACCCCGTGGAGAGTGGGAGTAGATTCATAAAATGTAACAAATCCTTCAAAGGAATACAACAATCAAGCTGGTCACCAGACTAGACCTACAACAAAAACAATATACAGCGCTCTCAGGTGGAATATGAAAGTGGTGTGGTATGCAGCCCTAGAAACCAGGAGGGGTTTTAGTTGCACCAGACTAGACCTGCAGCTGAGCTATTACCCTAACCCTTTACTTTCAAAAGTATCAATGCTGGCCATATACTGCTCAAATTTCAGACAAGTCTTGCTGATTCAGTCAAAATTTGAATAGAGTGCGGCCCCTCGATAAAAGGAGATTGTCAATTGATTAGTATAACGCAGTGATCCATAAACAGAATTTCGGCCTAAAACCCCATTTTTGGAGTATGTATATTAAATATTGCCATGAGAGGGAATTGAACGCCTTTTGCATGCCCAAAGACAGCAGCATAAAGGGAATGCCACGTTGGCTAGCTTTCTCAATTAGGAGGCAGGCTCTCCGCACATTATCCCCAGCTTGTCGTCTGGGGATGATTTGGTCGGCTCTTGTCGTTCTGAGTTTATCGATAAGCCAAGCCAATCGGAGCAGTCTCAGGAGGCCGACAAGTTAGTGGGATGCATCACTGCAGGGATGCAAGGACGGCTTACTGAAATCACAGATCTACAACTCGGAAGTAGGAGAAAAGTCCTCTATCTGGCGATGTCATCCATCTGTATCGGAGTCTGAGACCCCTGAGGTGTGTTGCATCTGTTGTGGTGAGCGCGGTGGTTGGGGTACCCTGGGGGTCTCAGGATGAGTGGCACGACGTGGGCTGCGTTGATCCAATGGCATGGGGCGATGTGTGTGGGAATCTGCTACAAGTAGGCCCAGGTCTCCAAGTAGGCTCAAGGCGTCTGCCAAGGTGGTGGCTTGGTGCTGGCGGCCTCTATACATGAAAAGAAGGCGGAATGGAAAACCCCATCTGTAGGCTACACCATGGTGTTGTAGGTGCTGGAGGGCAGGTTTGAGCTCCCTTCTTTTGGTGATGGTGGTGGGAGCGAGGTCAGCAAACACCTGATAGCCATGATCTTGGAATGAAAGGTTCCCTTTTTTCCTGGACTCCTGCAGAATCGATTCCTTTGTGCGGTAGTAGAGGAATTTTATGATAATGTCCCTTGGGGGTCCATCCTTCGCTCTGCGTGTGAGAGCCCGGTGTATGCGCTGAAATTCCAGCCTATCATGAGGGATGGATGGCACCAGTTCTTGAAGCAGGGCTGTGGTGAAGGCCTGGAGGTCAGTCACTGATTCAGGGATGCCGCGAATCCGAAGGTTAGAGCGACGGGATCGATTTTCAAGATCCTCCAATTTAGACATTAGTTGCAGGTTTTCGTCTTTGATGTTATCTAGCTCACGATCATGAGTGTCCAGTGCCACAACAGCATCATCCATTTTGGTTTCTAATTCAGCTGTTCTGTGCCCTAGATCACGGATCTCTTTTGTCAGCTTCTCTGTGATCTGTTTAGAGGTGCTGTGTAGGGCCTTCTGTAGCATACGGTCTATTTTTTGCAGAAGTTCTTTGTGTCCAGATCTCTCCCTGGTAGGGGAGGGAGAGCTTGCCCTGCTACCTGTGTCTTCCCCCTCTGAGTGCGGGAAGCGTGGGGTAGAGGCTCTCATGTTTGTGCTGGATCGGACGGGAGTCAGCGCCATTTTGGCTGCAGAGGCCGCCAGAGCTTCCTTGATGTCACGGCTCTTCGTCTTGGTTTTAATGCCTGTGGGGGCCATGGTTATGCGGCCAGGTCTTTACCTGTGAAGGCGGTGCGGGATGCTGCTCAGATGGTGAGTCTCGGCCGGTGCATTAGTCCCCCGAGATGCCGGCGAGGTAAGGAGCGGCTCTAATGCGCGTCAGCCATCAAGCGCGCCGCGCATGCGCCCCCTGTCAATTGATTTTTATCAAAGAAGCATGTTGGCTGCAGTCGCTTTTCGGGTATTCTGAGAGTAGCACACCCATTGCTGTCAGAATACAATAGCCCGGCGGGGGATTTCCCCATCCACAGTGTTTAGCACGGATGAGGAATGAAGCGTTTTTTCTTGTTCAGCTCTCGGGTGTGTTACAGCACACATTAATGTGCATTGCATTAGGGCAGCCATAGAGTTGCCACCTTTTCTTCCAGCGAAACCTGAACACTAGCGATGAACGAACATTTTTCGGCGAGAATGAGTCACGGCTTATTCATATGTAAATAGTGTCATCCATTCATATGTAAATATCACAGTTGAGACTATTTTCAGTGGGGGGCCAGTAGCCCCTATCTTAATTTTGGTTGCCCCTGTCTGCCTGACATCATGTGTCTGGGTTTCAGCTGCCATGAAACCTTAACACAGCATTCAAAACCCTGACTGTCCGGGTGAATCCTGGACAGGTGGCAACCCTAGGCAGCCAATGCACCTCAACGGATAAATTAATGTACATGACCTATTTATAGCAACGCAGTGCACAACAAAGCACAGTACTGACCAGCCATACAACCTGTGTTTTACTATACGGTACAATGTACTAGGGGCCATTCACAATGAATGGCTCTGCAGCACACTTCATATAGAGCCAGTGTAAATGAATATAAAGCATTTGGTCAGTCCTACAAAGCAGAGATAAAAGCTTTCTCTGATTAGTAGAAACCATCAGACACATGCACCAGTAGTTCCAGATAGATAGATAGATAGATAGATAGATAGATAGATAGATAGATAGATAGATAGATAGATAGATAGATAGATAGATAGATTGTCCATACCAGGTCTTTATATTCTAGCAGCTTTTACAATATATTTGAAGACAATTATGTGACCAGTGTTTACAGATAAATGCTCTATTTTACCTCTTATTTAAATATGAATCTATGAACTGAGATTTGGGTGACCGGCCTATACTGGAGATTATAATTCTTATTCATTAGAACAGATAAAAGTGCAATGACAATGTGCAAGTTCAGTAATCCACAGCAACCAATCCAAACTCATCCTGGCTCATCTGACTGGAGTAAGATGAAATCTGATTGGCCCTATAGATTACAAGATTTAGTCTCCATCCAGAGCCTGTGGCTGTGTATGTACAGAGGTACCTTCTGAAACATGAACATTAAAAGATTGGCCATTACCCCAGCAAAGGATACAACACAGACTGTTATTGATTACGTCACCCTGTGAAAAGTTTTTTGCTTTTCTCTTAATAAATTAAACATATTACAGGACATATGCCGGGGTCATAGCAATGTGGAAAATACATGATCAATAACAGACTATTGCATTCCTCTAACATTCGTCTGAGTGTAGCAGAATCATTATTCTTGTCTTTACCAGTCAATGTAGAATGAATCATCTGACACATTTTGCCTTGTCAGGGAGTGATGGAGAGTTTCCTTGGTACAGCAATGTCAGGCTCCGTGTTCTGTCTGTTTGCTGGACAGCCTCTTATCATCCTGAGCAGCACCGGTCCTATTCTCATCTTTGAAAAGCTCCTGTTCGATTTCAGCAAGTAAGTGAAACCATCGTACACCTCAATAGACACTGCAGCAATGAGCCCAGTAAAGGTTTTTATTAACCATTCCCCTGATGTCATTATTATGGCCACTAGATGGAGGTCAGGAGCATAGGAAATAATTAAATATTTCCTATGCTCCTCAGCTCCATCCGGTGGCCAAAATATGGTATTACATTATTTTACATTCAAACTGACAAGAAAAAAGACTAAGAACATCCGTTTTTGCCTCTATTTGCACAAAAAGAACATTCACACAGATTTGCAGGGTGAATGGATTTGCAAATTGTTTATAAATAGACCCCTTAGAGCAGGGGCGGGGAATCTCCGGCCCTCCAGCTGTGGTGAAACTACAAATCTCATGATGCATCTGTCACTGGGAGTCATGCTTGTGGCTGTGAGAATCTTGCAATGCCTCATGAGATTTGTAGCTTTACCACAGCTGGAGGGCCGGAAGTTCCCCACCCCTGCCTTAGAGTCTGGGCATTGTGTAGAATGTTCATTATGTAGAATGTTCAAAAGTTACACATCACCCAAGGTATCTTGTATAAGGCTTATACTGATGACAGCATGTGAAACAACACATATTAAGGAAGAGGCGCAGTGGAGGTCAGGCATGTTATGTGCACCAATGTCCTCGTAAGGCTTCACGTGATGGGTATTAGGTCACGTGATGGGTATCTGAATATCAGGGTCATATAGGAGTCTCATAGTACCACATGTAGTAAAAGAAATAAAAGGAAACTGTAAGTTGGGGAAAAGAAAGAAAGAAAGAAAGAAAGAAACATAAGTACTGGGCCTCACTTCACCCCTCTGAACTGTAGGAGTGATAAACTGTCCATGACATTTGTGTGAGTCAGTGAATATACACATTAGTATAGTGGCTCAGTGGTTAGCCATTCTGCCTTGCAGCACTGGGCGTCCCTAGTTCAAATCCTGGTAAGGACACTATCTGCAAGGAGTTTGCATGTTCTCCCTGTACTTGTGTGGGTTTTCTCTGGGTACTCCAAAGAGGGGGGCAGTGTAAGTACCTGAATCTGACTAGATTGGTATCATGCCTTTCCCTGTACAGCAGAGCTCAGGGTAGAAGAAGGAGCCAATCAGCTGTTCCGCAGTGCTCATGTGCTAACAAGGGGCATCCTGATAGGAGCAGAGAGATGAGCCCGTTAGTGTCTTGTTTCTCCTTTAACTGGCCAGTCACAGTCTGGGGGACGGACAAGACTTTTAAATGTTACTTAACTATATACTTAACAGCTATGCCAGGCAGGTGATGTACATCATTGCCAGCGGCCATCTTGGTGACGGACGCCGGCAAAGAGAGAAGGGGCTATTGACGAGACGGGATCAGGTATGCCACACACTCCGCTGTTGGGCTCTTGGGTCATTTTGGTATTATCCCCTCTGACCTGTCAGTCATTTTGATATTAACCCCTCTGATGGTGTCACCTGGTGTGGGCCACACCCCCCTTGTGACGTCACTGGTACCAAGGGTGGGCAACTCTGTCCCTCCAGCTGCTGTGGAACTACAAGTCCCATGAGGCATTGCAAGACTGGCAATTGCAGGCATGACTCCCAGGGGCAACAGCATGTTAGGATTTGTAGTTTTGCACAGCTGGAGGGGTGGAGTTGCCCCCCCCCCCCCGCTATATACTGTATACCATAGTAATTAACGGATCATGGGATCCAAAGACTGTAAGGACTTCACTCAAATTCAGTGTTGTGTGTGCAGAGCGTATGACCCATGAACAAAATGATCATTAAATGTCATTCAAAACACTGTAATCAAGTTAACCCTTTGCCTCCAGGAGCAATGATATAGACTATATGGAATTCCGCCTGTGGATCGGTCTCCATTCAGCCCTGCAGTGCCTTATTCTGGTGGCCACAGACGCCAGCTTCATTATTAAGTACATCACACGTTTCACCGAGGAGGGATTCTCTACGCTCATCAGCTTCATTTTCATTTATGACGCCATTAAGAAGATGATTGGGGCTTTCAAGTATTATCCCATCAATTCCGACTTCAAGCCCGACTACGTCACTACTTACCGATGTGAATGTGTGGCGCCAGACCCAGGTCAGTGGACATATTGATCTTCCATCACTTTGGTTAATGTATTAAAACAGGGGTAGGCAACCTTGGCACACCAGCTGTGGTGAAACTACCAATCGCATCATGCATCTGTCTCTGAGAGTCCTGGCTGTGGCTGTCAGAGTCTTGCAATGCCTTATGGAACTTGTAGTACCACAGCAGCTGGAATGCTGAGTTTGCCTACCCCTGCATTAAAACTTCCTTGTATACAAAAAGTGCTAGAAAAGGAAAATATTCTGAGCGCCTAAAGCAAACAATCATAATCTTTGTTACATTGTCAAATCTGCACAGTAAGAATGAAACATTTCTAACAATTTTCATACACAAAGCCGGAAATGTTGTCATTTAGTGTCCCTGATCAGAACTGACTGTTGTGTTCCACAGCAACCAATCAAATCTACTGAGAAAAATGACAGCTAGGAGATGAAAGCTTGCATCTGAGTGGTTGCTGGGGAGCTGGACAGACAGTTCTGGCTACAGACACTTTGTTAAAGTATGCCCATTGCTTGAAACGGAAAAACACTTAGAGGGGTTACTAATGTATTAGATATCAGTTCATACAATCATGGAGGCTCAGTATCACACATGAGTGTTACCTAGGGTGGTCTGCATCCAAATGCAGCCTGTCTAGTAAGGCTCGCTCCTCCAGACTGACACCCACCAATCAAGGCATTTTAATATTTGCATAATTCCTACAAAGAACCAGCCCCCTGCTTGCATCAGAACTGAGAGCTCTTAAGAGGAGCTCTGATGCAGGGTGCTGTAATGTTTTCAGGAAGCTACTGTGTGTACAACACCCTGCCAGCCCCTCCCATCAGCCATGATCTGCCTACATTGCATAAAGAAGCACAGAGACTCAGTGATGATGTCATTGGGTCTATCATAAGGTAAGGAATGAAAATGGAAAGGGTTTATTGAAAATTTTAATTAACATATTGATGACGAGGGAAAGGTGGAAAGAGGGAAGGCACAATAACAGCAGATTAAAGTGACACTAAACTCAGGAGTTGAACCTGAAAAATACATTCAAGTACCCTAACTATTAACAGAAATGTATCTTATTTGTGTATCACTCGGCTGTAGATCCTCAAATCATCTCTGCATTGGTGCTGATACTGTCCTTCCTTCTGGAGGGGGGCTACTTTTGTTCCCCATGGTCCCTGTGTGTGTTGTAAAGTAGCCACCGCTCCAAGCTCACTCCTGTGATGGACTATTCATTTGTATTGAGATTGTAGTCCATCACAGTCCATATTGTAAAGCGATGTGCAAACTATTGGCGCTATATAAATCCTGTATAACAATAATAATATAGTGGAGTATACTTTTGATGCAAAGCAAACTACTAAGATACAACAAAGGTGATGAGTGAGTCTGAGAGGATGAACACGTTCTGGACAATGTGGATTCTACATAACTTGTTAAAACAACTATTGTAACTGATATCTGCCACATCTCTCCTTATTCTCTGCATGTCTGTTCTCTGGCTGCCCCTAATCTGGGTAAGTATTCCAACAAAACATTTCAGTAGTTTCTTCCAACCTCTTCCAAGAAATGTGTTGTGCTTCCAATTTGATACTTATGTACAGACACGTGTGGGGTCTATGGGTAACGTAAGCAATATAGGCTTCATAATATAAATGTCTTGTTATAACTCTATAAATTCATTACTATCTGAAGATAAATCAATTTAAAACTCAGCATTTATTTTCAATTGAAAGCTAGCAAATCTGATTACACATCTCATGAAATGTGATGATCCCAGAAGGGAGACTTTACTTGGAGAAGTTGAATACCCCCCTCCATGGCATGAGTAGCTGAGACATATGCAACTTGGCACCCCCTGTAGATTTCCTGTAGGAATACAGTATACTGTATGGAGAAACATCAAAGGACAGGTGACCACCACCACTCAGTATAAGGGTGCGTTCACCGCAATATCGGAAGCCACTTGCAATGCAGGGTCTTTTGACTTGCGATTGCTCCTTCTGATTTCCTTCTGATCTGTTGCATTCCGTTGCGGGTTTTTTTGACAACCTTTATGTAAGGTAACATGTCCTGAGTGGACATACTTCACTGTAATGGCTTGCAATGCATTGCGTTAGCGTACACTAGCACACTTTTTTGATGCATTACGTTGCACTGAAAAAAAGTAGAGCGCGCTCTACTTTTTTTTAGTGCAGCGTATGGCAATTCAATGCTGCATTGTTAACTGCCCCCATTCTCACTCATTAATTTTTTGTTGCCGTTGTGTTAAAAAATGGATGGTAATGCATTGCAACGGATCTTGTGTGAATGGGGCCTAAAACCAACATGTCACAAGGTCACAAGGTCAAAGCAAGAATCTAAAGCTGGCCATACATGGATTAAAATTTGCATGATTCCTGCTGAATTGGCCAAATTGTCATCCATAGGTAGCCCTATTATTTATTTATTACAGGTATTTACAGTATATATATTATTATATATTTACAATATATAGAGCCAACAATGTATGCATTGCTTTACACAGTGCACATTCACATCAGTCCCTGCCCTCGAGGAACTTACAATCTAAGGTTCCCATCTTACATGCATACAGGGCCGATTTGGACTGGAGCCAATTCCGTTCCATTCCGTTGCATTGCAAAGTGATGAAAAAAAGTAGAGCATGCTTGACTTTTATACTATACTTATGCTATACTATACTTATAAGTAATAACACTGTTGTATACTGTATGTATGACATCTGCATGATTCAAAAATGTTATGGTCGTTCAAATTTTAGGTGCTACCACAAAATACATTTATATACCATTACGAGATGTTTTCCGCTTTCATTAAAAACATGGAAAGTTCCTCAGTTGGGGGAATAATGTTAGTGGAAGGCATCCATTCCATTATTCTGTTCACACATCTGCTCCAAGGCTGTCCAAAGCTAAGTTCACACTAGGGCGATCCGTGACCGTTCAGCAATCATGCATTAAACCGCACACCACCGCCGATCACGCTGGAGGTGCTATTATTTTCTAATGGCATCCCAGTCGCTCCAGGCAGATTGCGCTGTTTCCCGCCGCGATACCTCCCGTGCAATCGCGGGTCAAAAAACATGTACCTTTTTTCAGTGATTGCTACGTGGATATAACCCAATTGAAATCAATGGGGACGCGCATCCCAGGATCACCGATATTTGAACCTAGCTTCACGTAGGGTATACACTGAAGTGAAATTTCGATGGAACGGTTGATTCTGGAATGTTCGTTTGACTTTCTAATAGTTGATGGGGTCAAATTGGTGATCGATTTGGACTGCAGTCATATAAAAAATTCAAAGGAGCATGTTGGAAAATTTTGCTCAATTCTAACAGTGAATGTGGTTTTCGTTCGGAAAAATTCCATTCATTACAAAAGTGAATGTTAAATCACAACGAAAATCAAGCGAAATTTCGAACGACACTCGTCAAGTCTCTGATGGCATTATCGAACGTTTCAACAAGAGTTTTCTATAAACGTTCGTTTGAAAATCTACCGGTGTATAACCTTCTTAAGTTTTTGAAACCTCTAGGCTCTATTTGCCTTGACAGCTCCAGACTCATAAACATATTTCTGGGAACCTCTTGATATTCATATGATTAGAAAGAGCCACAACCCTCTGAGACACTTTCCCACATTTCCCACTTATTATATGAAAGCAGAAAACTAACTATAACTTTAACTATATTTCTTTATATTGTGCATGAAAGCAACTACTAAATCAAACCTCTTGTTTTTTTCTAGTGAACACAACTTTTTTCAATGCTTCAGCTATGTTTGCACCAAACAACACTAACACAACTTTGGTAAGTAATGAACAGCAGATCTGACATAAAGCAGAAAAAATAGTCTTGAGATTTGACTCAAGGTACAAAGCATGATGATAGTTGTGAAAATCATAGTAAAAGAAATTGCAATTGGTTGACCATTCATTAAACAGTCTATTTATTAAAAATTTGCTTTGCGCATGTATCAATATTCATGCAAAGTCACTACTGATACTATTGCAAATGTTTTTAAAATGTTAATTTATGATATTTGCAGTGTCTTTCGCAGGGTGAATGTAAAATTTTTCTAATACCCCAAAAACATTTGATCCTAAGAAAAAATAATCAAAAACATAGGGATCTGGTATGGATTTGAATTGGGGGGCCCCATGCTGCAAAACATATCAAGTGTGGTCCCCCTTCACATTAGAGTCCTCCCTTCACATTAGGAGCCTCCTTCACATCATAACCCCCTCCCCTTTTCACATCAGGATCTCCCTTTACAGCAGGATCCCCCTTCTTTCACATCAGAGCTCCCTTTTACATTAGTAGCCCCCTTCAAAGAAGACCATTTCACATCAGAGTCCCCCTTTTTCACATCAGAGCTCCCCATTCACATTACAGTCCCCCTTTTCACATCAGAACTCCCCATTTTACATTCAGAGTTCCCCCTTCACATCATAGTACTCAGTCCCCCCTTAACACCAGGGTTACTACTGCGGCAGCATGGCGGGTGGGACGCAGGTCAGGCCTGGATGGAGGCATACTGCAGTCCTTTTCTGAATGGATCCCACCCTCCCTGGATTAGTGACATTCTTTACCATTGTGCTTGCAGCCTGCCTGCACCATGGAAAGGCATGACGCTATGTGAAAGTTGCGAGGCACCCTTGAGGAAGAGGCACCTTGGTTGAGAAAAGCTGACTTTAAACCATAGCCTAAGATCATAAGACTCTAGGAAAGAATAGCTTAAAAAAGCCTAAGAACATTTGACCAAGAGAGAGAATACCATAAGAACACTCAACTTTGCCCCATTCACACAACAGCTGCAGCTTTATACATTGTGGTAAAAAATCCCTAAAACTAATAAGTGAATTTACACGGATCAAATGTACAGACAGTTTTGCTGGACTAATAGCTATGTGAATTTTTGATAAATAAAGCCCTATATGTTGTGTGTGATGCTGTGTGTAAGATGTGTAAAAAATGAGGAAGCGCTAATAAACCAAATGGCAATATTTAGCGTTTTTTATTTAGTTTCGTGACCAGAGTTTTGGGGCGTTAATTTGCCCAGACACAGTTTAGCAGCATCAGCACGCATTACTTAATTAACAAAAACCCCTATGAATAATTTGTCGGCTTGACAGTAAAGTCCAAAAGCCAGGAACGCACACACAGATGTGCATGTTTTTACAGGTCCAACTAATGCCATGTAATTATCTACTGTATATGTGTGTGGCCCTGTATAAGGAAAACATCAAAGTATCACCGAAATATGATGCACCCTTGCAGGGGCGTCCCTAGCTTTTTGCCACCTGAGGTGGTTGGTGGGTTGTTCTGGTGGTGCACGCTAAGGGGGGGATACACAGGAAGGGGGTTAAGAAACCGAATATTTAATATATAAGTGAATCTGGCCAGAAAGGGTGTGGCAGGCACACTGCAAACCTTTTGCAGCAGAGTGGCCATGCCGCTCTGCCTGCCACCCCCCACCCCACGTCACCCAAAGAGATGCCGCCTTATGCGAGAGGCTTGTGCTGCCTCATTAGAGGGATGGCCCTGCACCCTTGTTTTACTTGTCTGCACACCTCAGGGCACTTGTAGGAAGATCCTGCAGTAGGGCTGAAGGGAGGAGATGTACAGATCCAAGGATTGCAGAAAGTATTCTCTGCACGTTCAAGTTATACCCAGCGATTTCCTTTCACAGCAGACTGTTCACTGATGAATTGTACAATCCAATTAGGTCTCTGCACAAAAAAATAGTTAGCATGCTGTCTCCAGTAGCACAATCTGGCTTTAGTTTTAATACAGAAATAATGAAACATGGTTGATGTTAAAAGGGGTTGAACCTGTATATACTGTAAGGGTATGGGCAGCATAATACAGCCCTGCAATCACATATGTATAATGTATACTGCATATATAATAAGTTCATGTCATTAGTTTCCAATGATGTCATAGGCTGTAATCAGACCATAAGACTGAATCCTCCACTCTATGCAAATGAGAGATACATTGTAATAGCCTGGTGTGACTACAAGGCTACAAGATACAGTTGGCTGAAATAGTGCTGTTCTAAAAATATTTTGGTTATTATCTTCCCCACATGAATTCCAAGTACAATGTCATGAATAATACAGCCTTGGACTGGAGCCAGCTGAGTATGAAGGAATGTCTAAAATATGGCGGCAGCCTACTGGGAAATTCATGTAATTACGTTCCAGATCTGGCGCTTATGTCCTTCATCCTGTTCTTTGGAACATACTCCATGACAGTAACACTAAAGAAGTTCAAGTTCAGCCGATACTTTCCTACCAAGGTAAGCTGTGATTGGAAGTTGTTTGAAGCAGTCTACATTTAATGCAATCAAATAAATATTTCATTTTGGTTTAATAATGCTACAGAGACGTGTGGATCAGGGGTGGGCAAACTTTGGCCCCCCAGTTCTGGTGCAACTACAAAACAATTAGCCATTGCAAGACTCTGACAGCCACAGGCTGAGACAGAGGCATGATCAGATTTGTGGTTTCACCACTGCTGGAGGGGCAATTTGCCTACCCCTGGTGTAGATCATATAGAATCCGTATCCATTTTACTGACCTCTGTATGTTACCTGTTTCCTCAGCTGCGCACCCTGGTGGCTGATTTTTCCATCGTCTTCACCATCCTCTTCTTCTGTGGTGTGGATGCATATTTTGAACTGGAGACCCCAAAATTGCATGTTCCTAGTAAAATTAAGGTTGGCCCTCATGTATCTTCCTGTCTGTAATACTCTTCTCAATCCCTTCCACTTTTCCTGTCATAATGTATGTCAATGTGTTTTATGAAGTAGACTCCATAACAGTTTTTTATTCTTTTCAGAAAATACTGCTGCAGGTTAAACAATATGCAGCAAATGTACCGTGCCTTAGAGACAGTGTTTGTCTGTTCTAACACAACTTGAACAACGACATAAAGAGAGTACAGGAGGGGTAACCCTCTAGTCGACAGAACATTTAATTTTAAAATATTCATTATAGAAAATTACAAGAAAATATTAATTATAGTTATGTTATATTTTTCCAAGTTTGGTTATGATTTGCTCAATTTGCTAACTACTGTATATAAACCAGCTTTGTATTCAGAATACTGATAGACAATATGCATGTTCTATTCAAGATGTCTTCATTGGGTCAGCTTTGCATCCGCTTGCAGCTACAGGAAAGCTTGTTTTCCATGTCAATCACTGCTAAAGAAAAATTCTGTTCACAATGAAAACCTCTATATGAGCTTTAATGGCAGAGCTGCTTAGATCTTCAAACTTAACAATTTTATCAAAATTTAGGAAGCTGGAAGGACTGCAAATATCCAAATTAACCTAATTAACTAAAATCTTGCTGTCTGGCCCCACCCTGCTTTAGAATCATTGTAGTTCAGTGGGAAGACATGATGAATCTGTGCCCACACCAACCATCATCTATGACATACTGAAAAGTTGACAGAATAGCCACTCGCAGCTCTGTGGTTTAATAATTCCTCCACATACGAGGTTACTCTGAAATTCTGGAAGACTGAAAGATTTATGTTTTTAATTTTTCCAGTAGGGCTATTTTTTCTGAAATTACATTACTAGATTAGTGATAAGTATGGCTTAGCAAAGTTCTTCTTTAGAGATCTTTTCTGCAATTTGTATTTATTGTTCATAGGTTGATAGAAGGGTCATCATAACTCTTCATTTGTCTGAGCTGTTGCCCTGACAGGCTTGTAAGGATATCAGGGAAAAGTATTTGGATGTGTTTCTCAACTTGGTCTGTCATATGGTCTACTAACTCTCTATTAAACTGTCCTTCTTCTTTCTTTCTTTCTTTCTTCTCTCTTGTTCATGCTGCTTTCTTAAGCTTCGTAAACTAATTAGTGACTTCTCAATCTTCATGTCCATTCTGATTTTTGTTGGTCTGGACATGCTATCTGGATTAAATACTCCTAAACTACAAGTGCCTACTGAGTTTAAGGTAAACAACCTGTTCACATGATAATAAAAAAGATGCATGGCTACATTATCTTCTGTTTGGCTTACCATAATATTGAACTGCCCAAAACTGTAAGAAAGTCCTGAAGAAAGAGGCAGTTTTGCATGATGTTAGTTTTGTGGGGTTTGGAGCCCAGTGTATTAGTTCTAAGTGCAAAACTTTATCACTGAAATCATGTCAATATAAAACAGGACTTCCAAATGTCCCTGGTCTTTAATCTATCCCTAGCTGTTAACAACCCCAAACACCTAACAATACTCCTGCTAGAGCCCTGCCACGTCACCTATTCCATACAACTAACCATTAGCGCTTAGGCTGCACATTAACATTTAACTTCAACCCCTAACCTAAGCCATCAACTTAAATGGACCACAAAACTTAACTGTAACACTTTATCAGCCCTTAAAGTAAAATAATTAACACAAACCTGCATCACAACATTTAAAGAGACCTTGTTAGGTCTCTAAAGGAATGAAAATAGCAGCACCCGGTAAAGGAACACGTAGTATACTCAGCTTTCTGATGGCTCCTGTCTCCTACCTCCCCACTCTTTTTAAGCACTGAAGCCTCTGTCAGTGTCTTTGGCATGTCACACCGCCATGCCCACACACCGTGGTTCCTTTCTCCAACCCCTACTTCATTACTAAGTTCTGCAGTGACATAGGGGCAGAGCAAGGAACCAAGTTGCATGGCAGGCTTTACCAAATATAAAAATATATTGCAGCACTGGAACAGAGGGGAGCTGGAGACAAAGAGTGCCGTGAAAGTGAGTATACTACCTGCTCTCTTACATGGAGCTGGACACCATCTTCTGACTGAAGCTCATTGGAAAGTTGTTGGCCAAGCTTTGAATTATGTAATATCCATACACTGGGGTATAACATTTACTATATTCCCTTCTTTCTAAATTTCAAGCTTTTTGTTCAGAGTTATTTTCGCTATAGATATTTTCTGTATTCTTCTCTCACCAGCCTACACGTCCAGACCGAGGTTGGTTTGTTTTCCCATTTGGTAAGAACCCTTGGTGGGTGTATGTAGCTAGTGCATTACCGGCTCTGCTGGTGACCATTCTAATCTTCATGGATGAACAGATCACTGCAGTCATAGTCAACAGAAAGGAGAACAAGCTTAAGGTATGCAGTTTTGTTTTACAATAAGTTACATATATGTTATTTACTGAAGTGATCACTGTATGTTTTATTAAGTTTAAAACACTTGGGGACCATAGTGTTTGTTATCTTTTTAGAAAACCTGTGGGTATCACCTTGATCTCTTCTGGGTAGGCATTCTGATGGCTGTTTGCTCCTTTATGGGTCTACCATGGTATGTGGCAGCAACTGTCATCTCCATCGCTCATATTGACAGCTTGAAAATGGAGACAGAGACCAGCGCACCTGGAGAACAGCCTCAATTTCTAGGAGTGAGGTAGGTCAGCAATAGACTGATATGTTTTTACATTGATCTTTTCCAGTTAGCTTCTTAATATTCTTTCACCTACCTGAGGCCTTTCTCTTGAGGGGAATCCTGCATAGAGGGATATCTGTTCATTAGGTTTGGATCCAAAGTCCACACTGTTTATGGAGGCAAGATCTGTATGCACTAACTCATTATCTTTTATGCTAGCAAAAATCATACTCTATATTCCAATAAACATTGTCCATAGCACCAATATTGTCTGTTTTAAGCTGTTCCACCAATGCCCACCCTACCTCTAGAATGCATCTCAAGAGCGTTTGGAAGCTAGCCTGCCCTACATTTACTTTTTGGGCTGAGCTTATTGAGGTTATGTGGATAACCCAACAACCAGGCACTCTTTGCTTTAAACATCACCCAAATTAAGCGTGGCTCCAAGCTGGTATACAGTATATGCAGCTACTGTATGTACTAGTCAAGAAACCTTTATCTTATAGTCTGTTGGGAACATTTGGCAAAGGGTTCTGTAAAAGAAGAATTCTCAATGCTGAACAATCTTTTCCTGTATTCCAGGTGAGGTCAGGGACATTGAATATAAATGGGCCATGTTCAAAGCCTCAACTGTAAAAGCAGTTTTGGGATTTTGCACAGAGTGTTGTTGGTGTTTGTCACATACAGGTCTATTCACTGAAGGGTGAAGAGTTTGGAGAAGGCAGGAGAAGTAAACAATCTAGGACAAAATAGCCGATTTGGAAAAATTATCCAATGCAGCTCACTTTCCAGTTCAGCTATGTTGTCCTAGATTGTTCCCTTCTCCTGCCTTCTCCAAACTCTTCACCCTTTTGTGAATAGACCCCATAGGAAGTGGCAGACACTAGCAGCAAGGAAAACTGTCAAGGTGAGGGAGAACTTTGGGGCAGTTTTTTAACAGTGTTCTACAGATTTAGCAGAGGGATACTGGCAGGCCAAAAAAGCTACAAGAGCTGTTGAAGGAGCAAAGGTTTCCGGAATAGGATATTTAAAAAAAAGATTGCCAGGCAGCCTGAAGGATTTTATGACATGTAGTTTGATGCATTAGGAAGAAGGTCTGAGCTCTACAAGTGCAAAGCAAAAGTAGGAGACTGTTGAACACTACTCAGAATATTGTAGAGATTTGAAAAAATGCACTTTAAGAAACTCTCCAGTCTGCTGAATGTGTCCTCAGGGTAAGAGGTGGTGCTGTAAAATGTGAATGATGTGAAAGCTGTAACCGAGGCTGTAGCTATACCAGTTGGATGTCTTCAGAGTGGCAATGATGCAGGAATAGATGAGCCTAAAATCTTTAAGGAGCAATTAAATTTTTCCAAGAGATGAAATGAAGGTTGAGCACTTTTTCCTTGACCAATTATATTATGAGCTTGGGAGCATGGTGGTTCAGTCTACATACTAAAAGGCAAATGGCCACTTTCCATTACATACTTTAAAGAAGTGGCTGCAATACTAAGGGGTGATGGGCCTGCTTTTCCAATTTATGTATTTTCACACCGAAAGTCATAGACAATAGGTAATATCAGAAAAAAACAAGGTAGCAGGTGCAAGTCTTAGAACCAAGGCTTCTTTATTGGATGACTGGGTTCAATCTTTGTGACAGGGTGAAAGGTAGATATTGGTCCAGGAGAAGCTGAAGATTTCTATTGAATGCTATTGGTGCCCTCTTGGAGTTTTGCCATCTTAAAGAAGTCCCCAGAGCAAACCAAGTGTGCACCGGCAAAATCATATCTCCTGGCCCTCAGGAAGAACTGTAGTCCATGGACTGACCTCATTCTACTTTTTCTGTGGCCCCTCCAAGACAAAGCAGTGTGAAAATTATGATGATGATCCTGAGTAATGTAGGTGATTACCGAACTTTTAATTGTAAAGCTACAAGTAAATTATTGTATAAAGTATATTGTGGTAATAGGACATAAAACCACCAGTGTTTTGTGTATTATTGGTTGCCATGGTACGTGGCCTACTGCTTCTACTTGTACCGGATTTAGAAAAAAAATAATTGAGAAGACCACTGAAGTGAAACATATGCATATCAATATTGTTATTTTTATTTTACCAGGGAACAAAGAATGACAGGGATTATAGTGTTTGTCCTTACTGGAATCTCAGTGTTCATGGCTCCTATACTAAAGGTAAATTGATATAATGTCTCTACAATAATTCAGATGGCTCCATTCTTGTTTTTCATAGGATCTATTTTCTGAGAATAATATCTTCAATCTGGTTTATTGACCTGGGCAGTAAACGTTATAGTGGTCTGCAGAAACACATACAAACTAGGCAATAGTTTCAATCATGTAAAGAAGTAGAAGCCTGACAATGTTGCTAGAGGTGGCAATGGTCAACTAAAGGTTATTTACTTATTATTACTTGATAGAGGTCACATTATAGAACACATTGGCAAGTGTCAAAGAGAAGTTGCAGTGTGAATTAAGTGATAACAGGAGCAAGTGGTGCTTGAAGTGATAACACAGATGTCGCCGTGTCCGATACAGTACATAACAGAAGTCACCAGCACTCGATGATATGTGCTAGAAGTGAAGCACGTTTTATTAAATTGTCACATGCGTCATACATCCAACGTTTCGGACTCCTTCACCAGAAGAAGGGACCCTGTGTGATTCTGTCACTATGTCGCCCAAAAGAAGGGACCCTGTGTGGACCCGAAACATTGGCTGTTTGACGCATGTGACAATTTATTAAAAAGTGCTTTACTTCTTGCACATATCATCGAGTGTTGGTGACTTCTATTATGAGAACCTTCACAGACACAATCTAGAATCATTACAAAATCCAATCTTGCTTGAAGAACTGGTACTTATGACAATACATGGAACATGTACAGGCTTATTTCATACAAAATAGCAGTTATGATTAATTCCCTATAACAACGTACATAACAAAACTAAAGTAATTTTTCCTAATATTTTTTTTCATTTGTTTTCATTTGTAAACCTGTCTTTTCATCTAATTTGAATATATAAAGAAATCTTTTGGTTCTCTTTCCAATTTCACGAATCTGCCAGAACATGTTTGTAATTGTTGAAAAGCTGGTGGCTTGTAAAGCTGCAGGCTTTACAATGAAAACCCCTGTGAAATGAAAGACTCTTCTAATAGATAACACACAATGATGATGATCATTTTATTGACCAATAAGGGAAGAAGATACAAACTTTCTTGAAACAGGTCTGGGATTCGTCCCACTGGACCGCTGCCATGGCACCAGGCTAGATGTGTTTGGCTGCTATCTTTGCCGATGATGCTATCCTGGCCACAACAAACTAGTGATATGGTTATTTTTGAATACCATGAAATGCATATCTGTTCACAGTACCACACTGACTTTTCTTTGTCATTTTTTGATTTTAGTATATTCCAATGCCTGTTTTGTATGGCATTTTTCTGTATATGGGCGTTGCATCACTCAATGGAATTCAGGTAAGTCTCCACTTTTATAACAATATTATGTTCTTCTAGTCTAAAATAAGGGTTCTCCTGTTGCTATTCCTCCGATCATAGGATCTGGCTGTGTTTCTCCAGTTCCCTACCTGTAGTAAGATCGGGGGGATTATTCATGGCAGCTGAATGAATAACCAAACTGAAGTGAAGTGAGCCAAAGCCTCTTCAGCTATTCACTGCAGGAGTGTATGGCTGTTTTGATAAGTACATTCAGCACGTTCGGACGAACTGAAGGGAAGAACCCATTCGCCTCAGTCAATGCAACATCTGGATTGGCTGAGGCAAATGTTCGGTAGTTCAGCCCCTGCTGTTCACCCCTATTCTCAAAGGGGCCGAACAGCAGTGAGTGAAATGCCGAATGCAGTCGAGCAGCAATCTACTTGATCATTCTGTTCTCTACCTCAGAGGTAGCTAAGAGAATGAAAATGTCAGTAAAAAAAAAACAAATCAGTGCAGGGTTCCCCTCTCAAATCATACCAGACCCGTTATATCTGGTAGGAATGTTAGGGCTGACCCCCACGATGTAAAAAAAAAATGTGGGGTTCCCCTACAAATTTATAACAGACCATTTAGGTCTGCTAGGTTTTTTTGAGAGGGCCTCAATGCCCAAAAAAGGAAAAAAACAAGAAAACGTGGGCCTTAAAATTCCAAACCACACCCTTAATCCGAGTACTGACCTGGCAGGGCAGAAAACAAAACTGTGTTTTGTTTTTTGTTCAATTAAAGGATTCGAAAGAAAAAATTTCATTTTTGTTCCTTTTGTCTAATGTCAGTTGGCTGCAACGAAAATCCGTTCATAAGGACACATCGTACAGACTACCGGTAATGAAAATGATTATTATTTTTTTTAAGTTGATGCTTAAAACAATAAAACTTTATTCAGGAAAGAAATTCTGATGCATCCGAAATTTCCGTTATCGGAAATTCATATTTGTTTGCATTCGTTATTTCTGTCATTCGGAAATTCCTATGCATTCGAATGTACGAATTTCTGAAAATTTGCCTGAATAACAAATCTTTCCGAAACAAATATCACAATAAATAATAAATAAATACAAATTATAAGAGGTTCTACTTCTAACCTTTCCAAAATCTACAAAAGCTAAAAAAAATTCTCATTCAACCACTAGATGTCACTATGTAACAGGTTTGTTAGAAAAGACAACTAAAAGTGCTGTTCGGGATTTCTTGTACTGTATGTAGGTAGCCTGTAGGCATATACTCTATAATCACATGGGCTTACCTTGAAGATCAGTTTAAGTCGCTTTGAACTGCTTCAGACTTGTTTCTAATTAGGGAAAAGTAAATTCCACAGTTTTAACAAAATCAAAATGTCATCTTAAATCACCTGATTTTGGTGAAATTTTGCTGTTTTGACTAAATGCATTGAAGTCGGTAGAGAAGATGAAGTTGCAGTGGTTTTTGGTGTTTTTTTAAAAAAGTGCAACATGTTTTAATTGGCCCCTGAGGATAACAGATGCTTCTTTCAACTATCCTGGACGTCTTCTTGTGCCAGAAAATGGCCCCTTGTTAACCTCAATATTTTTAAAATAAAAACAAAAACAGACAGTGGAGAAAATTAAATACATAAACTGAGCTACCATAAAATGTTGTGTATGAATGAGTGAGCAGCACGTCTGCCGCTGTCAGAATACAAAGGGCACAGCGGGCAATTCGTCCATTTGGATGGAGAAATCTGTTATATTTTTTCATTCAGCCCGGAGGTTAAACAAGAAAAAATATAACAGCTCACATGTCCTTCTTGGAACCCTTTGGTAGGTAGCTGAAACCATGATTTCTCTTGCCACTTTGGGGTTGGGGGCAAGGGTCTCAGCCCTGGGGGGGGGGCCCAGGCCACAGCAAGCCAGGACTCTCCCTCCCCTACATTACCTATACCCTTTCCCCTGCCACTACCTTTTTCCTGACCCACGTGCATTCCAACTAACCTTCTGATCCCACCTCCTCCTTACCCTCTATATTGCACTAGCCCGTACTTCCCTTAACCCCTTCATGACTGAGGCCCTTTTTTCATTTTTTGCACCCATGTTATATTCCACATTTTAGGCCTGAAAATGACTTAAAACCCCCCAACATTATATATTTTCTGAATGCCAAGACCCTATAGAATAAAATGGTGGTAGTTGCAAATTTTTATGTTGCGCAATATTAGCGCAACTCCTTATTAAACCCCTGGGGGGGCGGCCCCTTCTTCGGGACACAGAAGCGATCTGGCGACAGGTAAGTCGCCAGGATCGCTTCTGTTGTAAAGCCGACAGTCGGCTCTACAAGTTTAAACAGAGTCCCGGTGGCAAAAGTCGCCGGGAGTCTGTTTAAACAGCCCCGATGCTGGCGACGTACACTGTACGTCGTCAGTCACGAAGGGGTTAACTACACTGATGTATGAGTCTACAACATAACACCATCACACCATCACCTGTTTATCAAATGCTTCTTATCTTGTAACATATAAGATACCTACAGGGTTATTCACTGAAGGGTGAAGAGTTTGGAGAAGGCAGAAGTAAACAATCTAGGACAAAATAGCCGATTTGGAAAAATTCTCCAATTCAGCTCACTTTCCACTTCAGCTATGTTGTCCTGAATTGTTCCCTTCTCCTGCCTTCTCCAAACTCTTCACCCTTTTGTGAATAGACCCCCTAGTATCTTATTCTTTCCACTTGTCACACCTTCTGCTGCAACCCCTATCGCTGGCCCACTTTTAGGAGTCAACTTCATCTAAGATTCCATACCCCAAGATGACACATGTCATGTAACACTCTAATGGATACACGCTAGGAAATGTTTTAATTGTCTGAACTTAATTTTCATATCATAAACTCACTAAACTGGCTATAAAGCCATATTAGAATACTTTTATGAACACCTGCAGTCTTTCGTAAAAAAAAAAAAACATTTATGGAGTTTGACTCGCATTCCTTTGGCTGTAGAACTGCTTAGAAATGTGTATATGCTTTTTATACACTCAGTGTGAACAAGCGTTTAATGATATTTTATATATAGTATTCAATCTATAAACTGTTTTGCTACAATGTTATTTAATCCTCAGGAAAGAATTCTGATAACAACAAATGTATTCATGTCAAGAAAAAAGTTAATGGGAAAGACTACTATCGCAGTTACAGTAATTAATATACAGCTCACATTACCAATCAAACAAGATTCACCACTTATATAATATTGCTGTATATTTCAGTTATATTTGTACAAAACGTCATATTTCACTGCTATTATTATCCTTTAAATGCTTTAGCAGCTTTCATTAAGTGCTGATCCTATCGTTAATTGTCACACCTTGCCATACACATTTTGTTCTTAATAATTTTCAGTGGATGACACTTTACAGTTTTATTGTGACTTCTTATTCTAAAAAAATGTTTATTATAAAAAAATCAATAAAAAGTGAATTCCAAAAAAACTGTTAAGCCGCATTGCAAGTCTGTTGATAGATAGATAGAGAGAGAGAGAGAGAGAGAGAGAAAATGCTCCTTGACTCCATTATTATTATTAATATTATATAGGATTTATATAGCGCCAACAGTTTGTGCAGCGCTTTACAAAACTGAGGGAGGCAATACAATTAACAATACAATTTCAGTACAGGAGGTAGGAGGGCCCTGCTCGTGAGAGCTTACAATCTAGTAGGAGAATCTAGTGATGAGAATGCCATGAGAACCTCATTCAACCAGCAAATGTCTGGGTGGATGATTTATAAATATTCCCCCCAAGGGTGAAGAACTAATGTTATCCAAAAGGATATTTCAGAAAGTCCTCTCACAGGCAAGCATCCTGCAGACCTTCAGTTTCCTGTTCCATGACTCTGTGCTGTGTAAACTTAAATTCCACTTAGGGGAGAATTAAAGATGGCTGTTTAGGGACTGTACACTGGGTCCTTTTCTATACAATTAAAAGATACCTTTCCTGGTGCCTCTCATGGCAGCATACACTTGATAAGCTCCACCCCTTATCCCTACCCACAGGACCAGTAACAATCTATAAAAAAGAGAGAGAGAGACTCCCCCTGCATTCTCTTTTTTGTCCTCGCGTTTCGACCTGCGACCAGTCATGTCGTCACTACCTCTAGGTCATAAAGTGCCGCAGTGCCGCCTGGGTTCAGCCTCTCCCAGGTGTAGTCCCAGTTCCTGGACTGCTCAATGCGCCTTTAGGTCTGGGAGCCCCTTCTGGCAGTTCTTGGGGGCGCGTGGTGTCCCACATATATACTAATTACAGGCGGCGTGATGGTGAACAACAGGGCTACTGCGCAGGAGCCCAGTTAGGGATCTGCTTCTGACTACCTTCCTGTTTTTGCGTGTTTTGCCTCTCTTTTGTATCTTTTGGTGTGTTTTTGGTTTTGTCTTTTTTGTTTTTTCCCCTCAGCCCTCGCTTCCCGGCTTGTGGTTTCTCCCCTGGGTCATCCATGGCTCTCTATCGGCATGGAGCTGCGGGGATCTGTCTCTGCAGATGCCCAGGTCCTCTTAGGTGCGGCGCCCGCTCTCTCCGGCTGTTTTACCGGAGAGCGGGTGACGTAACTGGGTCCGCGCCGTTGCTGACCCAGCGGCTGAGGCCGCCATCTTCGTTGTGGGCAATGTTGCCCTTTTTGCAGTTTTACAGTGGACGGGGTGGATTTTTTGCGGGCTTGCAGGTGTCGATGTCTGCTGGGTTGTGGCACAGGTGCAAATGTCGCTTGACAGTTGAGCAGCAGGTCATTGCTGTGCACACTCCGATGTGAGGGGGCACTTCTAGCCAGCCATGCTTGGGCTGTGTGTTGTCCCATTCTTCTGACTGCTGGACTCTGTGAACAGTGCTGTATGTTATGTACACTGGACCTATAGTCTCACCGCAGCAGGTTGTACTACATGTTTTTACTCATCTGGTGTTTTGTTCTGCTGATGTGTGCAGCCTTCACTGCAGATCCCTGCCTGATAGTCGCTTCCTTCCTTCGGCATGAGCCATTCACCACGATTGCAAGAACCGCCATCCGATTTAAGGTAGGGGACCACCGAACGGGTGAGTACAGACTAAAGAAAGCTTTTTGGCTGCTGTGTGTGCGGCCGCCGGATGTGGTGCTGGCTCATTCAACGTGAGCTGTGGCAACCTAATGGGCTTCGCGGGCCAGGGTTCAGATCAAACCCATTGCATTGGCCATTACGGGCTTTCCCCGGGCCTTCTGCCGGCAGTGGACTCTGGGAGACGGTCTGTCCAGTCGTCTTTTGCTGGATGGAGTGTGTTCTTTGGCATCGCTTTTGCACACCCTGTCAGCTTGTTATTTATCATTTGTATGCTGCCATGAAAGGCACCAGGAAAACGGAAAATTGTATCATACTTACGAGTAATTTTCCTTTCCTGGTGCCTGTCCATGGCAGCATACTACCAACCCTGTTTGTCGACGCATAGTTACAAGAATGCAGGGGGAGTGTCTCTCTCTCTTTTTTATAGATTGTTACTGGTCCTGTGGGTAGGGATAAGGGGCGGGGCTTATCATTTGTATGCTGCCATGGACAGGCACCAGGAAAGGAAAATTTGTGTATGATACAATTTTTTATACTTGTGAACCAGACATACACCCAAGGTAACCAGTCAATGTAGGTGTGAACAGCAGCATGCCTACCATCTTGCAGGCTTATTAACACAGAGATTTTCGAAAACAAATTTCTGGGTCATTTCATCTTCCCCATAAAAAAGGAATGATGCTTTCCACCTTTCCCCTGCACATGTGCTCCAAGAAAATGTTGCCCATGCTGACAGCTAAGTGGGGTTTGGTAGTGTAGTAATCTCCGGTATGACAGGAAAACCTCTTGGTGCCTGCTGCTCTAGCTGAAGCATCTATTGTCTAGACTAGAGCATAGTTAACAGTTATTCTTGTAAAATTGGAGTAAATGTACATACCTGTATTATCTGTTCCTAGTTCTGGGATCGCTGTAAGCTTTTCCTGATGCCAGCAAAGCACCAGCCTGACTATGCATTTCTCCGACATGTCCCTCTGCGTCGGGTCCATTTGTTCACCGTTGTTCAAATTGTCTGCCTGGCAGTGCTATGGATACTCAAGTCTACTGTTGCCGCCATTATTTTCCCTGTCATGGTAAGCAGAGCATACGTTGAAGTGTTGTTGTTATTATTAGTGGTACTTTTATATGAAGATAAATGGATTGTGATATAGTTATATCAATATTGATTTTATTTGCTATAATGAAATATAATGAACAAAACTGAAAGCTTTCTGTAATTTAAAGACTGCACTTAGGTCAAATGTCTCATTTTAGTTCAGTCTGAAGATGTTATCCACATACTATCATAAAACTCATAGTTCAAAGGTAGTTGATTATCTTCCGCACCCGGCCCTCTCCTACTAGATATATACTTGTATTTTGAAGCATGCATGTATAGGAGACAGAAACAATTTCAATTTAACATACTTATATAAACCCTGCACAGTGTTCTGCCCCACTCCATAGTGGAGACGTGAGGATATCTCCTAAATTCCACCATGTCCTGTATGTAGCCTGACTGATGTGTAAAGCTACATAAAAAAACAACCAGCAAATGATGCACACACTCATTTTTTTTTAAGAAATTGTTTTAAGGAGAATAGTGGTAAGCAATATTTGCATTTAAACTGGTAAAATAATTCCAGTGTAATTTCTGAAAACTAGGGATGCACCGATACCAAGTACCGTACTCGGTACAAGTACTAGTACAAGTACAGATACTTTTCCAGCTCCAAGACTAGACTAGAGAAAAATTCAAAAGTTAGGAGGCAGCTGTCATTTGTAAGGAGCACACGAAGCTCCTGGGATTTGTAAATCTCTGTTTTAATGTATGATTTTGTTTTTATAAACATATATAAAGGGATGCACAGATACCAGTTTTGCAAGTACAAGTCCTGATACTTGCCCAACTACTTACAGACACAAGTACTGATTCATTTTTGTTTATTATAATGTGACAGTTTTTCTAAAACAATACAGACTAATGATTTCAGGACAATGGTGGAGCACCAAAGCCGAGTCCCAGCATTGGTATCTGAACTGGTATCTGAACTAGTTTCGGTGCATCCCTACTGAACTGGTAACTGAACTAGTATCGGTGCATCCCTACTGAAAACTAACATGCTTTGAACCTATAGTCTTATTCAAAAAAGCAGAGCAGCAAACACATCACCAATTGCAAAGTCTTCTATCCACAGCAACCAATGACAAAACACCTTGTACTATTCTGGCTTTAGTAATGTGAATTCTAATTGGTTGCTATGGGGCACTGCAATGCAATGCAACTTAGTGCTTTGCTTCTTGCTTTGTTTATTGAATAAAGCTATTATAAGTTCTTGTGTCACCAAACGTCATACACATGTGGATCAGTATAACAATTTAGGAACTGTGTGTGGTAAGGCATGTAATGGCTGAACGGGTTTGAATCAGGAACAGAAAAAATCTCTATTCACATGATCCCATGGGAACATTTTCTGTTCGTTGTATCTCAGTCATCATAATGCATTGGTGGTTACGGGTGAAGACAACTGTGTGTCTGTCCTAGCAACCACCAATGTATTGTCTATTAGAACAGGAAGGGAAGCACCTACTGAATCATGGAAGCAGGGCTCTCGCTGAGAGGGAGAGCAGGACTTTAAAGTCTACGTAAACCCTAACAATGAACTTCTCCTATTTGTCCCATTTGGTTAGCTAAATATTCCACTCAAAATGTTTGGACACATACACTTTACACAAACATGATGGACACATACAACACATTTTTCTGGTTGGTTATTTTAGTAGGTCGGCTAACGTGCATAATATCATCCTTCACAATTGTAGAGACAATATTTCTTGGTTACATTTAGATATTTGAACAGCTCTGTCATTAGATAATTTAGCACAAGGAATGTCTTGAACAGAGATCTTCTTTGATAACAAACAATAGAGAATCAGTTGCCCGGTATGTGCTGACTATTTGCTTCCAACCTTGACTTGTGTTATCACAGATCCTTGGCTTAATGATGGTGAGGAAAATGCTGGATTGGGTGTTTAGTCAGCATGACCTTGCCTGGTTGGATGACATCCTACCAGAAAAAGAAAAAAAGAAGGAAGAAGATAAGAATAAGAAAAAAAAAGGCAAAGAAGAGGTTGATAGCGATGAGGTAAGCATGTTTAAACATGACAGTGGTGATATAATGCTAGTTAGGGAGTTCATCTAGATTCCAGACTGGATTAGTTCTAGTTAGAGCCAGCTCCATACCAGTTTCAAGTTTAGTCTGGTTTCTTTGTAAACTGCGTGGCAATTGATCGACATCCACACAAACACGGGAAACATTAGGTTTTACTAAAAAAAATTGCATTCTACCTTTTTTTTTAAATGTATACTTTAATATGACATGCTGTTTCTATACATTTAGCACTCATGTTTGTCAGGATCTGTTTAAACCAATGTAATTTTGCTGTTGAATTCACATTTACTACATCAGGAGATAAGGTTTGGAAACCAAGGTTGACATATTACAAAACATACCTAAGACTACGATAAAAAGTTGCTGAATACAAAAGATTGCAGTATTTATTAAAGTGACACTGAACTCAGGGGTTAACTCTTAAAAATGCCTTTGAGTACCTTAACGCTTAACAAAAATGTATCTTATTTGTGTATCACTCGGCTGTAGATCCTCAAATCATCTCTGAATTGGTGCTGACACTGTCCTTCCTTCTGGAGGGTGGCTACTTTTGTTCCCCATGGTCCCTGTGTGTGTTGTAAAGTAGCCACCGCTCCAAGCTCCCTCCCGTGATGTACTACAATCTCACGTTTAGCTCACTCATTTATATTGAGCTTGTAGTCCAAGTCCAAGTGAGCATGGAGTGGTGGATATTTTACAACACGCACAGGGACCATGGGGAACAAAAGTAGCCCCCTCCAGAAGGAAGGACAATGCCAGCACCAATTCAGAGATGATTTTTAGGATCTACAGCCAAGTGATACACAAATAAGATACATTTTTGTTAAAAGTTAAGGCACTTGAATGCATTTTTAGGATTTTTAAGATTTAACTTACAGGGTTACTCACAAAAGGGTGAAGAGTTTGGAGAAGGCCGGAGAAGTGAACAATCTAGGACAACATAGCTGAACTAGAAAACCAACTGAATTGGAGAATGTTTCCAGTTCAGCTATGTTGTCCTAGATTGTTCACTTCTCCTGCCTTCTCCAAACTTACATAGTTACATAGTTAGTCAGGTTGAAAAAAGACACAAGTCCATCGAGTCCAACCTATAGTTAATAACCCTGTTAGTGTGTCACTGTAATGGTAATCAACAAATAGCTTAGCCTTAAAAATCTCTTGTGAGAATAAACAAATTATGATCAGAATTAAAGCTTTTCTCTCCATGCCATACTGTGGACTCACAGGTTTAAAGAAGTAGTTCATCTGGAACACATTGTTTTTACATTTTTTATTAGGTTTTTATCTACAATAAAGTTAGAAACCAAAAAAAGTTCAGATGTGAAGCTGCCAACACTTACTAATGTGTAAACACAATAGGATGATATATCAACAAAAATTAGTGTAGTGCTGCCACCAAAAAACACCTAAAATAAGCGATATCTAAATACTTGATCAACATGACATTTGTTTCACCATATAACCATGTAATATAAGTGAAGCATAAAAAGTCCATGTTGTACAATGTCCATTTAATTCAACATGCAGAAAAAGCTTTAAATGTCACCAGCCACCACATGATCAATATCAGGAATCCTCCACCATACACCTCTCACCTTATAGTTGGACATAATAATCAAAATAAGTTCTATATGCACTTATTTCCCTTCTCAGGGGAATGCTGTTCCTTTAGCGGTACGGTCATAATCCAGGGTGATACTCACAAGGGAAAAAAATTATAAAAATGCCATAGTGCTCACCATTTTAAAATGCTTTTATGTTAAATCATGCCATTGCTAACTAAGGCTTGTATCCCCATAGTGGGGAAAATAGATGATAGGAAACCAGACCCATAATTAATTAGCCCCTTAATTGGGTATATTAATTATTTGATTACTCTCAAAAGAGAGAACAACCCCCAGCTGCTTAAACTAGACTCAAGAAAAAGAAGTGAGATGATCTGAGGGGATCAGCTCAAAGTACAGCTAGTAAGGAGGGTCGGAGACTCAAAATTTGCTAGAAAATATTATACATTTATTATTTAAAATCACAATGGACATACTAAATGCACCAGTTAACACCAACACCAGTTCAACATCTAAAATTGGTTATTGCAACAACCCATTCACTCATAAAACACAGAAATGCACTCTGAGGATGAGCTGATCAGCATAATAAATGGTACCGGATTAAACTCAAAAATGTTTGAGGAATAGACACTTTAGGCTTGAATGTCTCCGGTCAAAGGGAGGTATATATGTTCCTGATTTATTTGATTATTCCAATATTCTTGGTTTCGTGTATCCTAAACATCACTTAGTACATGGTTCAGAAAATTTAGAAAATGTGTAGTTTCTTATATCTTGTGACAATTGTTGTGACATTATATTTCTTTGACACAAATAAAAAATATTTTGGGAAAAAAAAAAAAAATGTTTGAGGAATATATTATTGTATAGTGTGGCACAGCTGTATCCAATTCTGCATACCTGGCTTTATATTATAAAGTTCTTATAATATAAAGCCAGGTATGCAGAATTGGATATAGCTGTGCCACACTACAGAGTGTTCATGCTCTTCATAATATTAAGAAACTGACCTAAAATCATGATTTTGTATTGCTTTAGAAAAAATTTGACCTGTCCCTTTAAGAAAAGTATCCGTAATTGGTATCTGTGAGTACTTGAAAAAAAGTATCGGTACTCGTACTCGGCCTTAAAAAAGTGGTATCGGTGCATCCCTAGTTAAAACCATATAAAAAATGTGCACTCACATAAAACAGTGGCGCAAAATACACGCATACAAAGCTTTTTTCTTTGTAGTGGGTAACTACAAACAATCTAGTTCTGAGACACAACTCCGCCTGGTCCGTGTGACGTAATGACATCATCTAAAACTCTGCCCTATGCGTTGAGTCCATTGACTTCTTCAGGAGTGTGGAGTTCAGAGACCTACATGCCTTTTTGTATTTGCAGTGACGTCCTATTGGCAAGGAAACCGCTGCGTATGTGTCTATACAACCTGGACCTTATGGTAGCTGGGCCATTTCCAGGTTGTTTAGACACTTGAGCAGTGGTTTCCAACAAAAAGTCATGTCGTTTTCTGAACTCCGTACCCCTGAAGAAGTCAATGGACGCACCGCGTACGTTGAAGTTGTGTTACCGTCACTGCATAGGTTTTGAGTTTTGTTGGAGGAATAGCAAGTTCTTACCAGAAAATTCAACTACCTGGGTCAATACACCTAAAACCAAACTTCCAAAAGAGTATAGTGAAAACGTGCCACACTCTTCTAGGCATCCATGCTAGGAGTATTCATGATGAGAAGCCAAGCTGTCTTTTTTGGCCTCTTTGCCCCCATGTGTTCTTTCCTTATTTGTCTGGATGTCCTCCTGGTTTTCAATGGCAGCATATATATTGCTCTACAATTGTCATTGAGAACATAACTGGAAAACTTGTTCATAACATTACTAATAGTCTGCTTGGTAGAAAGTGACTATTTTTCCCTATTGTAGGATCAAGCTGGCAACCCTGGAGCTGTGCATTCAGATTCTTCGGCCAATGGATCAGATATGGACCGCAGGTTGGTATAAAGCTCGCACAAATAACATATGAAAACTAAAAGTTTCTCCAGAGTGAAGTAATTTTGCTTATGTTTGTTTTAGGGTAGTCTGTATATAAAATAGCTTACAACTTGTGTGATTATGGTGCTTGGGGAGGAGATTTATAGTATTGTACATCAAATAAATTTCTCTGCTTATTCCTAAATAAATCCCCTAACCTACTATACCAGCCAATGTATTGCACATCCACCATTAATTATAATACAGATGAGTGCATCTGTGAGGTTCATCTCTGAAGGTGAGAGTCTGTTCACTGAGGGTGGAGTGGAGTTAAATGTGAAGGGGTTGTGTAACACAGGAAGTCGCTGGGGTTTTATTATCTGGAAAAAATAATTTTCCATACACAAGAGGGGAGTGGATCCTGCATTGTGACCTGTTATATACCATTTATATGGACTTTTATTATAACTTTACTTTATACACAGTTTTGATATATCTTTATTCTTAGCACTTTCTTATTACTGAATTTTTATAGTGATTTCGCTTTTATTGTATTATATATAGAAAGTTTTGTAGCACTGCACTCATCTACAAGTAAAGTATTGAAGAAGGGAGGGGGGGGTCAGTTTCTGAGGGACAGGAGCCCTTAGAACTTTCTTTACTAAAGTAACCCTATAGTTACATGTTTGATTATGGAGCATGAATGTTCTGCTTAAGTGGCTCCTTCAGACAGGGTGGAAGTGTGACCCCCTATAGTAGCCCCCCCTGGTAAGTGACTTACAATTGGACTATGGACCCTAATTTGTAGCGACACCCTTCTGGTAAGGAAACCCCTGTTGGTAGCACGAACCCTTGGTAATATAAAACCTGTGGTAGCAGTATGCTAGCTTTCAGTGCTGGGAGAGTGGTGCTGGTAGTTTTCAGGACAGAACTCCAGGCATTGCTCTACACCTTTCCTGTAACCCTAACCCTCTGTAGCTTCAATCCTCAGAATAACTCTCCCTGTAACTCCAACGCTCACAATAACCCTCTCTGTAACTCCAACCCTCATACTAACCCTCCCTGTACCTCCAACTCTCACAAGAACTCCCTCCGTAACTCCATCCCTCAAATAACCCTCTTTGTAACGCCAATCTTCACACTAAGAACTCATTCACAGAGATGTGCACATCCATATGTGACTTCAACCCAACCCAATAACCTCCCTGTAACCCCGACCTTCACAGTAACCCTCCAAGTATCCGCAGCCCTCACACTCACTGGGCCTGTAACCCCAACACTCTTACTAACCCTTCCTGTAACCCCAACTCTCACAATAACTCCCTCTGTAACTCCAACCCTCAAATAACCCTCTCTGTAACTCCAACCCTCATACTAACCAACCTCCCTGTACCTCCAACTCTCACAATAACGCCCTCTGTAACTCCAACCCTCATACTAACCAACCCTCCCTGTACCTCCAACTCTCACAATAACGCCCTCTGTAACTCCAACCCTCAAATAACCCTCTCTGTAACTCCAATCTTCACACTAAGAGCTCATTCACACAGGTGTGCACATCCATATGTGACTTCAACCCTCGCAATAACCTCCCTGTAACCCCGACCTGGCTTCACAGTAACCCTCCCAGAATCCGCAGCCCTCACACTCACTGGGCCTGTAATCTCAACACTCCTGTAACCCTTCCTGTAACCTTAACTCTCACATTAACACTGTCTGTAAACCCAACCTTTGGACTAACTGTCCCAGTAACCTCAAACTAAGTATCCCTGTAACCCCAACCCTCACCCTACCTTTAAATTCCAACTCTCACACTAACACTCCCTGTAACCCCAACACTCACACTTACCCCCATTGTAAATGCAACAATACACTCATTGCCCCTGTAACTCCACCCCTCATACTAACTCTCCCTATAACCCCAACCCTCATAATAACTCCTGTACCTATGATGCTAACACTGATCCTTCCTGTACCTCTGACCCTCACACCAACTGTCTCAGTATCTAACACTCACACTAACCCTCCCAATAACTCCAACTCTCACAATAAAACATTCTGTAACAACAACCCTCACACTAACCTTCCTTATAACTCCAACCCTCACACTAACCATCCCTGTAAGCCAAGCCCTCACATTAAACCTTTCTATAACTCCAACCCTCACACTAACCCTCCGCCCTCCGTATAACTCCAATCCTGTAGCCCCAACCTCCAAATCAACCCCTCTCGTAATGCCATCAAACATGACCAAAGAGTTATTATTAATAAACTATAATGTAGTTGTTCTCTGCCTTCTATATTACAGCATTACTCTGCATTTGAAGATCTCTTGTCCCTCCTCTCCTGCTATAAGCCACCCCAGAAATGCACTCAATGCCGTCCCACAAGTGAAGGTTGAGATGGATTCTGACTATGATGACTCTGACATAGACAAGAACCCCAGGGACCGGGGTAGTGAGACTACTTTATAGCACTGACTTTACCAATAACACAGTCAGACCTGACTGGCAAGATGGTCTACTGTAATCTGGAGCTGGTGTTAGAAAATGGACCATTTCTGTGTGTGACCTCACAAAGCAACACCTCCCAATCAGTGGAACACGCTGAAGAACTTTTATTATGGACTTTCCAGCTTAGAGTTAAATGAGCTCTTTAAGCAGAAACACAGAATTTCTTCCACATTACCACTATGGCGACAATTGCTGTCCAAGTGTATTGCACAAATTGGGCACCTTGTAAAGCTGCAATTAGGGAACTAATTTTCTTGCAATAAAGACTTTCTACAATCTGTGCTGTATTTCCAGGGCAAACTAGGCACTTGCTTAAGGTAGCAATGTTCATGATCAACGGTTGTGTTTAATACCTTATACTCCACTAATTTGGGGTCAGCAGTTACCTACATTCCAAGTCAATGAAATGAGTGGTTGACTAATAGAAAAAGCATTCATGTAAACAGCACATTGCCTCTGACACTGGCTTATACATGAGTGATCTGAATAATCAGCTTTGTTGACAGTATGTTCTTACTTGTACCGGCTTCTAACACCTTGTATTTAGATGCAGTGTTTTTTCATCTAGCAAGAAGGAACCTGCAGATTGCATTCAGATACCTTCACTCAACAACTGAGTGATTGCATAGACACATCTACCACTAGGCCTCATGTCTGGAAGCGCCTTTACTTAGAATTGCTTTTGTTGCCAATAGTCATATTCTTCCTTTCATTCTTTCTAGCTACATTGACTGAAGGCAAGTAAGAGCTTGGTTGCTATTTGCAGCAACAACAGTTCTTCCTTCAGACACTTTCAGAAATAAAGTCTTACCTGTCCACCATGATCTGGGCTGTATTTACCATAATGACACTTGTGGGCCAGTACCTAGGACAACTGGGTTAGAGAGGGGCAGCACACACATTTAGGCCTCATTCATGCGGACTCAATGACAGGACCCGTACTGAACTTGCACATCTGTACAGGTATGGATGCACGCCCTTGGACTAGGGTTGCCACCTTTTCTTCTAGTGAAACCCTAACACTCTATCGACGCACTGAAATTTGTTCGGGAGAATGAGTCGCGGCTTATTTGTATGTAAATAGCGCCGCCCATTCATATGAAAATATCACAGTTGAGTTTTATTTTTGGTGGGGGTCCAGTAGCTCCTATCTAAATCTTGGTTGCCCCTGTCTGCATGACATCTTGTGTCCGGGTTTCTGCTGCCATGAAACCTGGACACAGCATTCAAAACCCGGACTGTCCGGGTCAATCCTGGACAGGTGGCAACCCTACCTTGGACATAGACATCTGACATCCAAGGGATGTGCATCCGTACCTGTACACATGGGCCTGTACGGATTTCATATAGTGGGAACCCACTTTATGGATTCCATAGATTATAGGTTTATGAATTAACCAGTTAAAAGTACTATTAAACTGTGAGAAGCATTTATATTGTTCTGTATGTTAAAGTCTACTCCATACATGATTGTTGCATACACCAGACTCAAGTATAATGAAAGGTAGTGATCTTATGCTCACCAATCAGTCAAATTGGCCTATTTTAATTTTTTAACACACATGGAATTTGGACACCGTGGCCTATACTATTTGAAAACAAATGTGGGCGTGACCATGGCTTGACTTTAGGTTTAAAGTTCCTGGTGATATGCACCTAGACTGCCCATAGTGGAATTTTTATATTCTTATTATCATCTGCCATTATTACATCAGACATTGGGAAAAAACTTGTCTTCATTCCAGATTAGTACAACAGCAGGCATGGAAGTCGTTTCACTTCACTGCTTTTCTATTGGGAAAAACAATAGTGTAGCGTACCGGTTCACATCATCACATTCTGTTAAATAGGTCATTTCATAAATCTGCGTTTTAGGTAGGTGGTACATCTTTAGGTCTGTTTTACATGCATTTTGCAGGAAACTTTACCTAAGGTGCAGCAAGCGGGTCTCTTTCCTAATAAACTGTGCCAAAAGTCAGAGGCGTGAAATGGCCCCTAAGGGCAGCACCAAGCCAAACCGCAAGCACAGTGAGGCAATGACAACAGTCATGCAATTCATTTTTAATATATACATTGCAACTCATGCGAATGTGATTCTTTATGTTCATAAATGCTTGTTTGTTTTTGATGTGATCAAGCAAAAAGAGGTAAATATATAGGATAAAATATATGTACATAATGTTACCTGCATAAATTAAGATGCACAATCATATATAACAATTGTGAAAAAATAACAAAGTTAATTTATCTTTAAAGGTTTGCTGTGAATTTGTGATGTCTGTATTATTGATTATTAGTAAAAGGGCCACGAGTCCCAAACTTAGTTTCATATAATAACTGAGAAATTGATAAAGATGGCGATTTATTTATTACAAAATATCACAAAAACATATGCTGTATATTATTATTATATTACTATTACTATTATTATACAGGATTTATATAGCGCCAACAGTTTGTGCAGTGCTTTACAAAATAAGGAAGACATTACAATCACAATACAATTCAAGACACAATGGTAAGGAGGGCCCTGTCCCCGAGGGCTTGCAATCTAAGAGGGAGGGGGAAGTGATACATGAGGAGGGAGCTGTGCGGGGATGAATTGTTTGAAAACGTGATGGTTAAGTGGTTAGTTTGAGGTGGGATAGGCTTTTGGAAAGAGTAAAGAATGGCTACAAAACCATTTTTTTTTTTTTTTAGCAATCTATGTCCCATTTGAGAGATTTATTTTCACTCCCTGACATATATAAACGAAACAGGAAGTGAGATTTAATCTGTCCAAAGTGAGGTTTGGGCAGTTATCACCGCAAGTATCCCCAAAGTAAGATTTCCCTTCTATTCTTGTTCTGGTGAAAACTAAAATTTTCGATTTTCTATCACTTCATATGGCAACTTCCTTCATTCCACAAGGTTACGGACTAATCAGAAAATTACTGTATGTCTGTATGCACCCCCCAACCATGACAGATTTCCCCTGGCACTGACTGAGAGAAGAATTGATAGCTATGGTTGGATCTTCCAAGACAGTTGCTCTCTTCCCTCTTTCCTTTTCTCTCCTCTCCCTCTCTCTCTCCTTTTCTCTCTTCTCTCTCTCTCCTCTCCCTCTCCTTTTTTCTCTTCTCCCTCTCCTTTCCTCTCTTCTCTCTCTACCTCTCCTTTTCTCTCCTCTCTCCTCTCCCTCTCCTTTTCTCTCTTCTCTACCTCTCCTTTTCTCTCCTCTCCCTCTCTCTCTCCTCTCCCTCTCCTTTTCTCTTTTCTCTCTCTCTCTACCTCTCCTTTTCTCTCCTCTCCTCTCCCTCTCCTTTCCTCTCTTCTCTCTCTCTCTACCTCTCCTTTTCTCTCCTCTCCCTTTTCTCTCCTCTCCCTCTCCTTTCCTCTCTTCTCTCTACCTCTCCTTTTCTCTCATCTCCCTCTCCTTTTCTCTCTTCTCTCTCTCTACCTCTTCTTTTCTCTCCTCTCCTTCTCTCTCTCCTCTCCCTCTCCTTTTCTATCCTCTCCCTCTCCTTTCCTCTCTTCTCTCTACCTCTCATGTTCTATCCTCTCCCTCTCCTTTTCTATCTTCTCTTTCTCCTTTTCTCTCCTCTCCTCTCTCTCCTCTCCCTCTCCTTTCCCCTCTTCTCTCTCTCTCTCTAACTCTCTTTTTCTCTCCTCTCCCTCTCTCCCTCTCCTTTTCTCTCTTCTCTACCTCTCCTCCTTTTCTCTCCTCTCCCTCTCCTTTTCTCTCTTCTCTCTCTCTACCTCTCCTTTTCTCTCCTCTCCTCTCTCTCCTCTCCCTCTCCTTTCCTCTCTTCTCTCTACCTCTCCTTTTCTCTCCTATCCCTCTCCTTTTCTCTCCTCTCCCTCTCCTTTTCTCTCCTCTCCCTCTCCTTTTCTCTCTTCTCTACCTCTCCTCCTTTTCTCTCCTCTCCCTCTCCTTTTCTCTCTTCTCTACCTCTCCTCCTTTTCTCTCCTCTCCCTCTCCTTTTCTCTCTTCTCTACCTCTCCTCCTTTTCTCTCCTCTCCCTCTCCTTTCCTCTCTTCTCTCTCTCTCTAACTCTCCTTTTCTCTCCTCTCCTTCTCTCTCTCCTCTCCTTCTCTCTCTCCTCTCCCTCTCCTTTTCTCTCCTCTCCCTCTCCTTTCCTCTCTTCTCTCTACCTCTCCTTTTCTCTCCTATCCCTCTCCTTTTCTCTCCTCTCCCTCTCCATTCTTTCTGCTCCCCTCCTCTCCTTCCCCTCTGTTTTTCCTTACCTTACCAGGATAACACTCCTACAGATGAACTGCAGAAAACATTTGGTGCTGAGTCTAAAGCAGAGGTGGGTAACTCTGGCCCTCCAGCTGTGCTTTAACTACAAATCCCAACATACCTCTGCCTCTAGGAGTCATGCCTGTAACTATCAGTCTTGCAATGCCTCATGGGACTTGTAGTTCCATAACAGCTGGAGGACCGAAGTTGCCTACCCTTGGTCTACAGCCTTCCTGATAATCACTGGCCTCTGTAATTACACAACTGAATAGCAGTTGGGCGGACATTACTATTAGATGATAAATGAGGTAGAGAGGTGAATGAGCCAATCCACAAGGAAGGCAATGTCAGGCCGGACCCTGGTTGTGTTGAGTGCTGATTACAATCAAATATTATTATTAAAGAGTCCGATATAAGCAGAAATCTTCTTCAAAGTACAGAGTAGCTGAGCGAGTTGATGAGCTGTGTGATATCCAGAAATAGAACAATGTTTACATAACAGAACTAAACTACACTTACATATTGAAGAGTGTTTGCACAGCAATGCAATATCCAGATCTACAGGTTTTCTGAACTTCTATTCTGCAGATGTTTGTTCACAGGAGGCCATGGATCTGCAGTCATTTGTTATGTAATGAAGAAATTTCAAACATTTCCGGGAATAGCCTAAACATTTCAGCCTTACAGCTGAACCTCGGGCATGGAGCTGAAACAACAGTTGAATCACATAACTGTTTCCCTTGTCAAAGCATTTGTATTTCTGTGCATCCATTACTGTGATTTACACAGCTCTGCCAGACATCAC